ATACCATATTTCTACCTTCAAAAATTTTTCCATAAGCGTTGCAAAATCTAACTGAATAATCCTCCAAGGATACAATTAATCTGTTCTCTTCTTCTCATGAAATTCGCTGCGTGGAAAAATTTATTGAACAGATTTATCGAAACTTAAAAATTTCTTAAAAATCGAAATTTTACGAAAAATTTATCGAATATATTAAACATCGAAGATTCCTGAAAATTTTCCCATTCGAAATCGACCCTCGAAACACAAACCGCGAACCGAAAGGAAGTTCCATAATATCAGCATACGTACATTTCGTTTCCATCGCTCGCAAAGTATTTTCCAGCTACCACTCGTGTTCCACTCGAACTCATTTTCCACTCGACTCTGTCTGCTGGCCTCGACGCTCGAATTAAAATTCTCTCGCGTTCCGTGCTTCGTGTGAATTATCGTCCAAGTTTTGCCGCGAACAATTCGATACACGTTCCCCGGATAGAATTCACTTTTGCTTTTTTCCCTTCCGCTGTGTATATTCGAAAATTTCGAAGAAGACAGGAGAAGGAAGCTGGGTATACGTTCCATTATACATTGTATATCAAGAGGTGAAGATGGACAAGAAAATTGTTTAACACTGTTATGGATTATGAAGTACTTTTTTTTTAGCCAATTATGTTCCCCTTTTTTTTTTTTTAATTTTCTAATTTCTGAATGATATCAGAGTGGAAAAATAAAATTCATCGAAGAATTTTGAATAGAAATAAAAAGATTTTTATTTCAACAGTTTTTGAAAGTAATGTATCTTTTAAATATTATGATTGAAAAATGTTGTTCATAATTTAGGCGTTTAGAAGCAAATGTGAGCTGCATCAAACAAAATTTGTCAGATTTATTTTACTAAATAAAATTATGTACTAAAATTGGAAAAATTAGAAAAACTGGAGTTAATCAGTTTACTCTCTGAATGGCTTATCTCATAGTAAGGCTTGTACATTCTTTCATCATAAGGACCATTTTAATCAGTTCTGACTTTTGAAAAGTACATTTGATATTTTGAAAAATATAACAGAAAGATATTTTCTATATCTATTTAAAATTTTAAAGATGAAATTCATTCCTCAAGTATTTAAGATTTAATTTAAAAAGATAGTCATTCGAGTGGAGTAAACTAGAGTATTCTACAATTGAACAAAGTAAAAAAAGCTACAATCTTATCCATTTGTTTTTAATTTCAAAAAAATCACTTTGTACTAATTTCAATAATAAAATACAACCTGTGTCCCATCCCCAATACTTTCAAATTACTTCAAAGACGTATCACCCACAAAATTAGAAAATTCGCTAAAAAAAAGTAAGAACATAATTGACATTCAAAAGTCTCTTAACAGGATTAAAAAAGCGTATAATGTATCTGGATGATATACAAATGAATGGTATGAACGGTAAAACGTTGCCAAACGAGAAAACCCCAACGCTAAATCAAAAATTCGACCAACTACTCATGGAGATCCATCATCGGTGTCACAAAGAGTCCATCTTCGGCGTGACAAACTCTACACTATGCAGCAAGTGTAGACCAGCTTTAAAATCGAGTCCACTTCGATCTTGATTCTAATCTTGACAGATCAGCTGAGGTGATATTAAGAAAAGAAAACAAAAGAAGAAGAATTTCGACGACGATGAGAATCCTGTTATTTACGTGTATAGAACTCATCGCAACACGACGTATTTGTAAGGAAACGTGCGGTGCTTTTGGTTAAGGAGGATCGTTCCAAGGGGAACACCGATATAATTTCAGTACCGTGAAGGGAACGTATAGAATAAGAGGAGAAAGAATCGAATCGACTCACCGCGTTCCCGTGTGGCCATTGGAACGTCTCCCGCTGCTTTCTTCGTCTTCGTCGTCTTCGTCGTCCCTCGAGGTCGCCAGCGAGTGGGGAACAGAAGAGGGAGCACTGCTACCGGAATCGGGCCCTGGGCCCATCCTCGAACCGGAAGCACCGCTGCAGCCCGCCGAAGACGTCGACAGACCACCCCCTCCTCCCTGGCCCTCCTCGTTCTCCGCACGATCCACCTGAAATACAGTCCAATTTCGTTATTATTGTCATCAAGACGATCAATTTTCTTCGTGAAAAAGTATCTCTTATTTGGGCATTTTTTTTTTTTGGATTATGTATGTACAGTGGGTGGTCAAATTATTAGAGCCTACTTGTAAGAAATCGACGGTTTTACGTTAAAACGATTAATTTTCGGATGAAAATGTAGTTATACTGAATTCTTATTGTAGGAATCGACGGAAAAAAGTGTTCGGTGACTCAACCGGGAATCGAACCCGGGACCTTCGGCTTAGCAAGCTGAGGCTTTGTGCACTACGCCAATTACCCCCTCTTAATTTTCCCTGATCGGTTTCCTATTTGGGTATGGAGGTCCCGATACTACGTTATTTTTTTTAGAAGCGTCGATGTTTACAAATTGCAAATATACACTTGGAAACGCTTTAGGCGATATTATCTGTCGTATAGACGTTATTTTGTGTGGGTACTGCAAATCGCTACTGAGAACCACGTGTTACAGTTTCGTTGGTTTATAGATCTTGAGCGTTTTAATTTTCGTTGCTGTGTTTCTGCTGCTTATAGTAAATTACTTGAAATGTATGGAAAAAAGAATGAAGGCTGTTGTTGCAGCAAAAATATTGATTTTATTGTTACTTCTTAACTGTATTTTTTGTAACTACATAAGCTAGGTTTAACTGTTTTGTGTGTCTTCAGCGAACAATCCTTAATTAGAAATGATCTAGTGTGAGAATCTTGATATTGTGGTTTTATTTTTGCACAAAAATAAGAAACATATTTTTCGTATTGTGGCTCTAATAATTTCATCACCCACTGCACAGTTACTCTTATTTAACCCTTTAACGCTCATGCTCGTGTCTCTTACACGTGCACAACTAATCCTTCAAAAAGTGTAATTTTGTTTAATTATTTTCTTTCACTTTCCATATCGCGCTTTTCTATTCTACAGCAAAAATGTATGTTAAAACATTGTAAATAAATGGGAAACTTATTTCTGCACGGCCAGGAAATAATTGAAAAGGAATGAAATCGGTCGTTTTCAGCATATCAAGTTGAGAAAAATCTGTTATTCTTTTTTCTATTTGAGTATTTGTGGATGCACAATAACAATATTATTCCAGTTACGAGATACGTTCGTTGTTTTTTCTTTAATAAAAATCTACTGAATTTTCCTTCAGAAAATTTGCAATTATATACTAATTTCGAAGAAAATCTTTCATGCAGTTTGAATTTTTCTTCTGAATATCAATCCAGAGCATCTCTTTTGTAATTTTTTTCTTGATTTACCGATTTTAGTTAGACTATTGACTATGAATTGTTATATATTACTCTGTCATTTAATTTTCCATTTGTGTGATTTCTTTGTTGGCAAAAAAAAGTGAGATTTTGACACATTATTTAACATTATTCTGTGTATATTTGGAAAAAAAGATATTTATCAGGTGAAAAACACACAATTATTCTTATTTTCAATGTCCACAGAAGTAGGTAATATTTAATTAGCTGATAAATATAATCAACACTTTCTGGTATCAGCACTACGTTAACTTAATCATTCAGCTAACCAATTTACCACGAGGCGCATTCATCCAAGCTACTGCAACTTCAATTGAATTCATGCAGAATAAGCGAACGCATTGTTGTGTGCGGTTTAGAGACGAATCGTTGCGTGAATATTCATTCTATCGTAAATATCGCTGAAAATACTATCTAAAATTCATTTAACAGCGCGCCTTAAACAGATTCAAGCCTCATTCGTTAAAAGTAAGAATTTTAAAAATCGACAAGTTACAGGACTAATTCAAATTTTATTCAAATTTCTGAAACTCTATTTCGAACGAGACCAACACTATGATACCAGTTTATTTCCAAACTTTCTTTAAACTTAACCCTTTGAACTTCAAATTTTTTTTCAAATTTTCTTTTCAATATCTCCCTATTATTTTAAGAATTTTATTTGAAATGCACTTAGAAAGTCATTTGGTCGATAGGAACCAATTTAAACAATTTTTTTTTACCTATTTTTTACCTTTTACCTATTGTTCATCCAGGTGAAACAAAATATTGCAAAATATAACACATATTTAAAAATGACTTCATTCATACCTGTGAATAAAACTGACGTCGAGTCACACTCGACAAAGGAGTCCAAAGGGTTAAAACTTTGAGTTTCTAAATAAAACTAGCCCAAAATTTTGACGAAAAATAAATATTGCAATGTTCACTCTCTTCGTATTAACGAAATGCAGTGTTCCATAATAAAATATTTCCAACAAAAACGCACGATAGAAAAACGAACACGAGCGTTATCGGGATTTTATCCGTTTTTCGATATGCAACGACCGTTTCAAACCGGACGACTACAATCGTCCTTAGCAGCGAAACGGTTAAAACGTCAATCCAAGCTCGAAATGCCATATAAAATTTCAATTTCCATCGTCGCCTTTTCAATATACAACAACTATCGCTAAAACATAACCATTGCGTATATACTCGGCAATGCATCATGCATTCGGCACGCAAAACACGTACGAAAACACGTCGCGTCGGGTTCAAGCGGAAATTTAAACGTCACCCCCTTTAGCCACCGAAACAAAACGCAATTTGTTCACGTCGCCCCTTTGTCTCGCCGCTGTCGCTGTGTAATAAATTAATTATTCTTAGCGTACGCTGATAATGGTCAGGAACTAATAGAAACAGGATGCTGCTTCAAGTTATAATGCGTTCAATTAATAGCCTTCCCGCGAAATTAGGTCAACGGGTTAAAGCAATTTAATTGTTCTCACCAACTATCGAGAAGGATTCACTTTTCGTTGAAACGTGACCACTCGCCAGACCTCCGGCAACTTATTAACGATAATATTGACGAATCGGGACGGTCATCTTTGGTACACGTCTCGAGCGGTGTTTTGGGAAAATTTTTTAATTATTCGTATCACCGATAATAAGGTAGATTTCGTTTTTATCGATATTTCGTCGTTTTGTTTTGAGATTTTCGAAATGTGGTAAATACCTGTTAATTGAGAATGTTTGAAGGTTGGTAGCGTTCAATTAATGACACTATTTTTTTGAGTTTCAGTTTTCACCTAATGCTAAAGGTAGTGGATTTGGGCAAATTTTTGGATAATGAGCTAGATTTCGTTTTTATCGATATTTTGTCACTTTGCTTTGGGATTTTCGAAATGTGGTATTAGGTCATTAAGTATGAAATGTCCGATTACCTCAAGTACCAAGTTCGATACCCGGTATCTCTGATATTTCACTTTGAAGGTTCTGTTTTTTTATTTTTATTGCGAAGGTACGTTATCACCCTTCCAGACGCGCATTTTGGTCTGTGGTTCTGCCGAATTGCCTTTTGCAGATTAAATTTTGTAAACCGTGGATAAGTAAAAAATTCGCGTTATTTTCGAATACGAGTTCCGTCGTGGAACTGATGCAGCGGAACTAATACATATCTGTTAATTGAGTATATGTGAAGGTTAGTAGCGTTCAATTAACGAAATTTTTTTTATCAATTTCTGTTCTCGCCTAGTGCTAAAAGTAATGGATTTATAATTGAGTTGTTCAACTGAGAATTAATTACTAATTCGGATTTATTTGTCAGTCGAATTGTCAAAGTGAAAATCTATTAATTTCAATTATTTGACAATTGAATTATTGGACTGAAAATCTACTAATTTGTATTGTTCAACTGAAAATTTAATAATTTCAATAATCTGACACGTGAATTATTAAACGGAGAATTTACTAATTTAAAACACGAGAAGAAAACTTAAACTAATGAAATGAAGTTAGTTAATTGAGTGCTACTAACCTTAAGACGTGTTCGATTAACGGATACTTGGTACATTTCGAAATTCCCCCCAAAAAATGAAAAAGTATCGAAAACAATCATTTTTGAGAAGAATGCATGAATTGCAAGAGAAAAAGTCTCGTTATTTCGACAGAAATTATTCTTGACAATTTTTTCTTCGAATCATATTCAAGTTATTAATGAATTATTTCTTTCGTAGTGTACTTTGACGAGGAGTTCGAGATTTAACAATTTTTTTAGAGAAAACATCGTTGCAGATTGATATTACAAAGAAAATATTTCTAGATTTTAGATCCCTGCATAAATGTATACAATCTAATTTCACATCTTTTAAACAGAAATTTCTGGAACACCCGGTATAATACTGATACCGTTTCGACAGCTCTTCAAAATTAAAAGTCCATTGAACTACATTCCACGTAACGACACGTTATTTTTCCCTTTTTCCTTACTCTTGTTTGCATCTATTCGTCTTTCCAAAGTCCCTTGACAGCTCTCCAAGTTAAAGAGTGAATTTAACGAGTCGCTCAAACGATTCAGCTTTCAGGAAACTCATTAATTGAAACGCGACAATTTTTTCTCTGAATCGTGAACACATTTAAATTCCTCGCGTTTACAATTTTCCATTTTTACCAGTCCTTTCTTTTTTTTAGATAGAAGTTAGGATATTCCACGTTTATGATAATAAATATTCTGTCATTCAATCTTTCTTTTAAAATAAAAATATTTAGTTATCCAAAATATGGGTATTCGAAAAATATAATAGAAAAATTGTGAGAATAGAAACGTTTATAAAAATAAATACTCAGAAAAATACTCTGTCATTTGGTCCTTCTTTGGAAATAAAAATATTTAGTTATTCAAAATGAAAGGTATTCAGGAAATACAACAAAAAAATTGCAAAACTGGAAATCTGAATAAATAATTTTTTGGGGTACAACCCGACTAGAAATTTCAGTTAGGCAGATATTAGGTCCGCATTAGGCTAGCCTAATTTGCCTGTTAGGCCCGCATGCGG